AGGGGGGGTGGTGGAAAGGGCGGCAGGGGTAGAGTACAGGGGGCCGGCAAAGGGGTCAAAAAAACTGTGGCTCACCTGAAAATTTCGAATGAGGCCCAGTAGCCCTACATAGTAAAACATAATTTACTGAAATACTATCCATTCCTGGTTTTGCCCCTTTTTTAAGCCGATGCTTTGTGGAATTCGTGCACAACAATTGAGAAAAAATGTTTTGCCAACTATCAAGAAATCTGTAAATGGTTCAACATTGAATCAATTGTGTTTTTACGTGCATCATTAGACTTCATTCTACGTATGTTTTATTTATTTACGATATAAATATGTCATACATAAATAAAAATGTTTATTAGGAAATGGGGTACAGAGGAGCCAAAAAATGAAGTTCGCCCCGCTTATTTGACGCTGAGCACGCCTATGGTCAAAGTTGTTTTACAAAATTGCAATGAGATGAGACAGAGCGTGCAAGGAATGCGACAACAGTAGACACTGTAGCTCTGGAACTTATCTAGGTGTAGAACTAGTGAGCAGAATTCCGTTTCAAAATAAAACAATTAATGCAATAGGCTATTGAAACCGATTATTACTATATTTTTAATAATGCAACGTAATCATCCTTTTGTTTTCTGTCAATCCATAAGTATGTTTATCGGTAAAAAAACGTCTTTTTTGGCTGAAAATGAAGTATTTTTAGACGATAACCATACTTATTGAGAGTCAAAAAACAAAAGGATATTTGTATTTTATTATTTAATGAATGTACTATTTCAATGAGAACAGCAGTTTCAATGGGACATTTATCAGGGATACTACACTATAAATGATCACTACAATTCGATTTAAATAGTGACTTCTGATATGTAATTAGCTGAGACGCGGTTTTCCAATCGAGAGCTTCAATACCACAAGTTAGGTCGTAACAAAATACCAGATTGGATAACCGCGCCAAGCAGACTATCTGTCGGGTCACTATTGAAATCTAGGTCGAATTCAGCCGGCCTGGAGGAAAATTTTAGAGGCTGGCTGTTCTGATCAGTAGTTTTCCGTGGTTTCTCCGCTCAACACCAATCGAATTCCGAAGTAGTCCCCTAAAAAACAGGCTACGAACCGCGCGCGTTTTTCCTTCCTCTTTCTTGTCATATCTTCTCGTCTTTATTTACTCACTCATACAGTTACGTGCACTACACAACCACAGAGGTCGGGAGATCAGTCGGGAGTGTGTTCCGGTTGGGGCGGTGCCTCGTTGGCGGGTGATACCTGCTTGAGGAAAACACGCTAACTGACATGTAGGTTTACTTCGGATGTCACCATCCAGCGGGGAAATATTACCGCCTCCTCCCTAGAAAAACACACGCACACTATATTTACGGGACTAACGACCTTGGCCGTTGACGCGCCCAGAAAACCGAAATAATCAATCAACCAAACATTCAATCAATAAATCGACCAATCAATCAATCAATCATTCAATCAATCAATCAAATCAATCAATCGAGTTTCCCCGAAATACGATCCCGCCTCCCGTAAATCCCCTGGCGACTGAAGAAACACGCGCGCGCCCATTGACACGCGTTGCGTCACAACTCGCTTGTTTGCGCCTGCGCACGCGCGCGCGTGTGTGTACTCACTGTGCGTCTTGCGCCGGCCGGCCGGACGGGCAGCGACCAGTTGCACTACCGAATGCGCACTGAGGCCCAGCCCGCGGCGCGGCGATGTTCAACTGTTGCCGCCACAACCGCCACCAGCGGCGCTGCCGCCGCGCTAGCCTGCGTGCCGCCTCCCTCGCCACCGCGCACTGTGCGGAGTTTCGGTTCTAGCCACACAAACATCGGCGTGCTCGAAACGTTTACGAAAGAGTTGGAAACCTGGTAATATTTTCTCGTATGCAACGTATTTCCAATCTCATTTCTTCTTATATTCCGTGACAGCAGAGATATTGTGCTAATTCTTGATGATAATTATTTAAGGATCGATTGTCTTAATTAATTATCAATTCTTCTGTTCTACTACTGAACTTTAATAACAAAACAACAACAACCACAACAATGCCGGAGCGGATGTCCGAGATCGCTAAGGCAGTACTGCTGAATCTAACTCGGAACAAAGGATTGCGGGTTCGAGACCCGCCTCGGTCATGGTTAACTTGTGTTCGTCCTTTCACCCCCTATCATCATCATCATCATATCGTGTCTTCCTCATAGTTACCATACCGTTACACGAAATAGTGGTCCCTTATGACCAAGAAGTAGGTGCGACCCTAAATAACAAAAAAACAATAATTACAGAAATAATAATAGTAGTAACAAGAATAAAAATATTGTATGTGCACTTTAGGATCATATGTTTTGGCATTTTGGGAAATCCAATACTTTTGCCAGCCAGCGGTGGTTCCAATCCGAGAACCTCTTTTAATTTACGAGTATTATCCCTTCCTGGGGGTAAGGGAGGCATGTGGCGAGTGTGACATGCAAATAAATCTTTCATCCCTTTTAACATACTTGTCCTGCCAGAAATCTAATACGCTGTCGATGTCTCCAGAGAGACAACAATGATATTATTATTATTATTATTATTATTATTATTAACAACGACAATAAACCGAGGGAAGTGCGTGGCGCGCTGACTTCGCAATCGAGAGGCCCTGGTTCGGCTCTCCTGATTACTGGGCCGGCTCTCCTGACTGGGGTGTTCATGTTTTCTCTCGGTCGTACAGCCGAATGCTGGGATGGTTCAGAAAGTTCACGATCACCTCACAATTCTCATCTCTCATCATCCTATCACCTCATAATTCAAGGTTTAACCATCTTGTCTTACCAAGGGAAAAGCTTATCCCTATAATGACTCACGTTAATCTTTCCGGTGTAGAATATAACTGAGCCCAAGAAAAGAACATGTATCTGGGTCAGAAATGGCCATTATGCAAATAATAATAATAATAACAATAATAATAATATAATATTTATATCAACAAGGAAAACAAGAGCAGCCGTATATGTGTAAGCCTGAGAAAGTAATCAGTAATAAACTAGCACGAATACTGTGGGACAGTACAATTACAACTGATAGGACGGTCAGAGTAAACACATTAAGCATAGTTTTATTAGATAAAAAACTAGAGCTATGATTATTATTGCAGAAAGAGATTTAGTGCAGAGTGATTGATACACATTGCAGAGATTAGAGATAGTACCTATGATAATAACAAATGATGTAGTCGCGAAGGATTGGCAGAAGACTGGAAAAAGTCTGCGGTTACGAGAAAAAAAAACCCTCAGAACTACGCAAAAGGCCGCTTCACTGAGTACGGCAAGCAACACCAGAAAGTTTTTGAGTTTTAAATAGGATGGATGAAGTGCCAAGGAAATAAACCACCAATCACCAAATTCATCATTAATAAAGGGCTATTCAAAACGTATTTAGAACACTGCACAAGAAAGCTCTTCTTTGTAGCAACTCCTTACATTTGTGCAGTCAAGCTGTATCTTGAACTCCGACATTTCTTAAGATATAGAGGAGAAATAAAGAAATATAATAACAATAATAATTAATTGTTTATTCGCGGCGGCGATGCTGTGACGGTTAGTGTATCGGGGCCTGTTATACCCAAGCTCGCGGGTTCAATATCCCGATCGACAGCCGTGGATTTTTAGGCATCAAAGATCCTTCGTACGGCCCCTTCCTTCGGAGGGGAAAGTAAAGCCGGCTGTCCCATGTTAGTAGATTGACTTACATGTAAAAGATCCTCAAGCCTAATGACGCTTGAGGCTAAATTCAAAACGCCCTGTTTCTCGCCTAAGAAATACCTTCCCTTTCTCACTGCTAATTTGGTGAAAGGAGCGTAGCGAAATTTTGGCGTGGTCAGACGGAAGAGCGGGCCTGATGGCCCGAGTCTCGCCCGTAAAATAAGGTAAATTCAATTCAATTCAATATTTATTTGCGGGAGCTCAGGCCACAAGGTCTACTATTCTGCCTATCCATTTCAATGAATGTAAATGTACAAAAATTACAGTGAAAGCGTTCGGACGTAAGTAATGTTAACTGATATTTCACGTTGCAGAAAAAATATTTAATTTAAAACTTATATCTACTCGACATTAGCTGTGCAAGCCATAACTTCCAAATTGATTTGTTTGTTCTTGAATTTTTTTTGCATTAGAGAGAGTCATTATACACTTTCTTAAAAATGAGTTGAGAGTGAGCTACAACTTATTACACTTAAAATCAATAATCCTGATTCTCCGAACCTGCCAGTTGCCATCCTTGATACTGGAAATTCCTCAAGTGTGAACAATGACCAAAGAGGAGGGTATATTTTACATTAGGTCTAGAATGCAATACAGGGAACCTTCCTGGTATGTGCCATAAACTATTGAGTAATCCCAGAATAAACTCTCAATGAGAATGGCGGTTTAAGGACAAACATGAAAAGGAAGAGTGAAAATAAAAGGCAAAGGGAGAGAAAAAGAACTAATGGAAATGTACAAGAGGTTATGAGGAAATGAAGAGGAACACATTGCAATTATTACAGTTTTGCAGGTAATTTAGGACATAAGCAGTACATAATCTCTATACAAACACATGGTGGAAATTTTCATATTAATAAAATTAGTAAATTATGTAATATTTCAAAAAATGTCAGTAAAATAATTGTAGGTGATGACTATTAATTTTCATTGTAACAATAATAGGAAACAACAATAAAAGCGGCATACATCAATATTTGAGCAATCTCCTATCAAATTGCAACGCATTCATTTTTCTTATTTTACATTATGAATCTATTACATATAGTGCAAGTACACTTTGGATATTGCAATGGAATTTGTCTTTTCGCGAATAAAATATAGTAACTTCTGACATTTCATCGGGTGGACGCGATGATCCAATCAGGAGATTCGTTTCGACTTTCATTTTTGAAAGTGTCACTCCCGAATGCAAAACCGCGACATAGCTGATGAACTGTCACAAGTCACTATATTTAAATCGCGCAATAATTGTCATTCCGCGCATGGCTACCTAGCAGTTCAGTTCTTCCTCTCTCGCTCCGCTGCAATAGTGATTGTTAAGAGTCGCTCTCCTAGAATTAGCAGGGACAAATCACGGTTGTTCAATAGCCTAACAATTTCTTGACGGTGTTTATAATAACAGCAATAGGAGTGTACATAAACTCGCGGTGCAGTGCAAGTTCTGTAACAGTAATTGTGCGGGGTAAACTGTTCAAAGTGCTCTCGTGACATTCCACAACATCACCCAGGAGGTTGTCGAAGAAATGGAAAACACAGTTCGTTCAACTAGAGCAGGACCTGCCAACACAATCGCAGCAGCCAAATTAACAACGGAAGTGGCAGATACAACAGCTAAAATCATTTCGTCAACTTCATGAACTGCTACAGCAGGTTTCGGCGACTGGCTTTGCTGGCGTTCAGCCCGACCGGAAGGCACAAGGACAACCAGAG